AAATCTCTTAGTATATTGAAAATTACCCATTATTTTAAAGAGTTTCATTTTGAACTATTAACCAAAATGTTTGCCCTACTCAAATTCACATCTAAATCTTGAGTTATAAAAAAAATGTTTCTAATAAATTTAACTACACAAACTATACTAAGCAAACAGCCTGCAGCCTTGAAGAAATTTTAGTGCTAAACAAACTGACAAGCTGTCAAATAACACCTCAATTTAATAACTGCAAAGCCCGTGAGGTGCACATAACCACAAAGCTTTTTTAGTCGAAATAAATATTTGCATAAAATCAAATGCAAAAGGAACAATATTAAAAAATAAATAAATATAATTAATAAATAAATCCTAAATTGAAGGATAAATATATATGTATATACTCTTAGATAATTTTTAAAGGAAAAGCTCTAAATTTAACTCGAGGCATGTTAATAAAACAATTGTGAGCAAAAATTTAATTTCGTTGTTGTTGGTCGACTTTTAATTTTCCACTGAAAACATTTACATTATACATATTTGCTGCTAGCCGTGTGGTTAGCATTGCGTATTGCCATTTTTATAGAAAATTAATTTAAATAAAAATTAAGCTAAATTTTCTAGTTGCGGTTCACCCCCGGCAGGGAATGTCAACCTTTTCGAGTGTATTTCTTATTTGAAATAAAGGCTTCTCATGAAAAACCCATCAGCCGTTCGAAGGCGGCTTAGTATAAACAGTAGGCCCCTCCATTTGTTGGAAACACTTCTAGACGCAAAACCACAAATGAGAAGAGGAGCTCGATCGAAAATCGTTTAAGCGCTTACTCAGCTTTATCTTTCAGGCCATCATTTCAGGCTCCAAAATTATTTGCGAAGATTCACCGCATCATATTTTATGATTCGTCTCAGAAATGGCTTGACTTTTACTCATTTCAGAAGGGTTTACCCAATAACAGTTTGGTTATAAATTTTTTTGTTTTGCACCAGCGTATCTTAAATGATACCAAACTACAGTCCATTACCTCTGCCAATTCCTTAGAGTCGGCATGCCGGTCTAACTTTACCGCTGCATAACTTTAACTGCTCTTTGAGTGACTGCTAGCTGGTGTAATCTGATAAAAAAATATTTTACTTTCCAATTTCTTAAAACATATTTGAAAATTTAACATTTTATTGATGAAAAATATATCTTTTTTAATTGAGTTTTATAAAGTGTGGACTGTTTGAATTGAAATCAGCTATAAGGAATTAATATCCTCTGTTAAGTGGGGGTTCATTAATTTGATCTGAAATCGAGTTACTTTAGTTTTTTTCAACACACTTAATGCAACTCCAAACAATGGGGCGCGCAGTAATTAGATTCTGTGCTGAATCGAAAATACTACGAGTAATTTCTAGGATGATTTTCTTGTATTCCTGAGGATGAACACATATTGTCAAATATCTCTCCTTTAATTCGATTTATCGCGCGCGTACGTATTAGATAACTCAAGAGACCTATCGTTAACCTCCGCGCCCCAACGCCCTCTCGCGACTGACCGATCACTGAAGATAGCTACACAGTTGACCCATATATATAAATGAGTAATCAAATTGTCCCACAAACATCTAACAGAGTCGTGAATTTCAATGTTGATTTTGAATGAAGGCAATAAAAGGTTTTTTAAGTATCTAGTAAATTAAAAAAGTACAGTAGAGTTAAACTTATTAGGTATGAATGGGCTGTAGATAATACTTCTAATCAATTAAGTTTAAAATAGAATTCAAAACAATGCTCTTCCACCTCTTAGTGTAGGCAGATTAAAGTTCGTTCGTAAGAAGGGAGATTCTTATTCGCATCCCATTGAAAATGTCTTAACAACGCGAATAGTATAAATTGCATCTGTACAAATTTCAAAATCCGCAAGATAGTTTTTTTCTAGTTATTCTTAAATCTTATTAAATACTTCATAAAACTTGTTGTTTTTTAGTAGGAGGTCTCAAAATGAAATAAATTTTATGTAATTCTTGCAAAGCAGAATTGGATATCACCCCAATGTACATATGTATTTAATTGGTTATGTTTGTTGATGTAACACTCTAGATGTTGGTGGAGGGGGAGGGGGCTGTTTTGTGTGTGAGTGTGAGTGTGCTTTTTAATAATGACGTTTGAGAAGTGAGTTCTGACTCTTCCACTCACCTTCACACCCACCACGCTCTACAAAAAGGCACTCACTGTGCTCAGTAAAAAGTGAAATTAAGATTTTAATGTTTGAAAATTTTTCATTTCATTTCTACTGCAACAGATTTACCAGCAACCCACTTTTACTCACACATTTCATCTTGTTCTTGAGTTGTCGACTATGCTTTAATGTTTTCTTCATGTTGCTGCTGTTATTGTAAGATACTTTTGTTGCTATGGGAATTGTGGTTTCCCGTTATACATTGGTTGAGTTCCTCGTTGTTGTTGTGTTGTATTTGTTGTTGTCAGTACCACTTAACTGGTGCGTCAAGCACATAAACCCATTAACTGGCGAAGCGTGAGCCACTTTGAATTTTATTAGGGTGTAATTTCATAGCCAACCTCAAAGAATTTTCTGTTTTCATCAAATTTATATGAGAGCGAATGAAATTTAATATACAATTTTTATAAGCTTTGAATAAATTATAAATTTAATTTTACACAAGTAGCTCTCGAAAATAAAATACTCTTCCACAGAGCAACAGCGTGATTAGCTTGGAGTTTTATTTACAGTGGCTATTACAAGTTGCATGCTAAAAGGGTTAAAGACTTACTTTAAAAGCAATTTTAAGAGGATTTGTTTATTTATTATTATGCCATTATTGCCGGAAAAAATTAACATTTATTTAAAGCATCTAATATTCCCTTAGGCTTTGAGCAGTAAAAAACTTAAATTGCGCAGAAATCATAATCACGTAATGAACTTGAGCAAAACTTTCCTACTAAAATAAGATCTATGTTGTGCAATTACCTAAAAGCTTAAAAAATATATTTAAAAAACAAAATGTAAAAAAAGTATCTTAATTATTAAGCAAAAAAGTTGAACGTTATTATCGGCTAGAAATAAAGTTATTATCTCATTTCTATATATTTTGTATTGATTTATTTATTTACAGTAAAACGATTGATAAAGGCACAGCAAAATGTTTTTATGACATAAGAATATCAATTTTACGTAAACGGATAATCAATAATTAATGGTATTTTCGAATTTATGTGAATATCGAAAAAAATTCTATATTCTCCAAAGTAGTTATTTTCATTAAAATGAAGGCAGAAGAGGTTTGCTCAGTAACTGAGTTATACATTTCGCTGTATTTTGATATCTTTCAAACCAAAAATGATGATTCAAACATAATGTGCACAAAATTGAAAAAAAAAATTGAAGAGAAGAAATTGAAGCCCTGCACATTATCGTTTTGCTCGTTCCACCTTAAATATCGGTAATGTAAGTGAAAGTGTAGCCTAAGACCCGAATGTCTATATGAATTTTTTTTAACGACGAATCCAGCGTTACCACCTCCCGACCAACCGACCGAGGGGCAAATCTGAGGGTTAATCGAAAAATCCGGAAGCCGACCGCGGAAGGTCGCGTCGAGGTGCATTTCTCACTCGTGGTATACGTAAATAAGCAAAGTCGCTGCGTTTTGTCTCCCAAAATCTTCAAATAATTAAGAAGAGAAGTCAATACTACAAAAAAATAAACTTACTCTCTGGTGCGCTTTCCATGGCGGAGGTGGTATTAGATCTTACTTATTCGAAAACGACAACGGAGGGACTGTCACTGTCCTTTAAACTTTTTTTTTGATTTTCAAACGAAAGCCTTTACAAAGCCGCCAGTTTATTTCATGCCGCAAATGCACTCGAAGTGCTTGCCATTTCCTACCAATCTTCTACATAATGAAATATTTGGTCCGCTTCTCAGTTCTTGCATCGGGCATTTCAAAGGCTAAGTGAAGCCAACGCCTTAATGACTTTTACTACCAATTTCTTGGGTAACCAAAAACCTGACAAGCTTACGTCGTCAACGTATGGGAATTGTGTCCCCACTTATCAGTTTGGCTTTTCGCTGAAAACTGCTGCGTCGTGCTGAACACAGCAAACAGTTTCATCAGAATACAACAACTAAGCAAAGTGGGTTTCAAAAAAATTAAAATCATTCCATGCTTGCAATCTTTGGTTAGAGATGCTGCAGCAACAACTTACACATTGGCATTAAAACAACAGAGCAGAAGTAGTATAAACTATAGAGGAAATATATATATTTTTTGTTTTTGGTTAGGTAAAATTAAATTGAAAAAACCCTTTTTGAAAACTGCAATTGGGATTTGTATTTTATTTTAATATTTTTTTCCACATCAAAATACTACCAAAAAATTGAGTTTCAAAAAAAATTATTTTAAAATATGTGTGTCAGGGTCACCAACCTTATTAACAAACTGATTATGTAGTACAATTTCGAAAAAAAGATTTTCGAGATTGCTTAAGTCGTAATGTATATATCTTGGGAAGAGCTGTTTAATAAATTTGAAGTGAGTCTCGAATGATGCTCAGGCTAGGCAGATCAGTAAGAAAGTATGAGTAGGCTTTTTGGTAGTTGCAAAAAATGATTAGACTTTTCTTGCTTAAAATAGAAACATGTTCTGGAATTATTTGAAGCTCACCAAATCTAGTATATTACAATTCTTTTCTCATTTACAATAGTAAAGTCATTAATTTAAACTGGCGTTGACTATATAATTTAAGCGTGTTTGATTAACCCTGTCCTTCGGTTAGTTGGGCGGGCGATGATCAACACTGTGTACGCCGTTGTCAAAATCAGCTTTCACATTATTTTTGCCCCTTCCATTAATTCAATAAACAACATAAATAAAAATTAAGCATTGTGTGAAAAAGGAATAGAGATCTATTTTTGTTCAGTCTGCTTTATAATTTTCTAAAATATTTCTTTATATATATTAAATACATATACGCATACTTTATTTTTAAATGACAACTTTCTTTTATTTTTCCAACAAAGATTCAGTCCCGTGTGTCCGCAACGTCTGCCAGACATCGCCAACGAGACAGCCGCATTAGAGCGTATGCCCAAAGGGCGGCTGGAGTATTTGAAGCGTTTATTGCCGTATCTGCAAAATCAGTCGGAAGATTGCCTTTATTTGAACATTTATGTGCCCATACAAGGTGAGTTCTAAGCGAAATGCCAAATACCATTTGCTATGCAAATATAATATACATATATACATAGTTATGTAAATATACAAATATGTTTGGTTGATTTATATTGAATAAGCTTGTATATATGTATCTGCAACTGAGTTTAGAAAACTTAACTCAAGTTGTTGTTTGTGGGAATATCTCATGAGACTATTTATCGTGCCAACATTATATTGTACTTTGGCTTGAAATTGACAGCAAGCCGTCCCTTACCAAGTGGCAGCGGTCAAGATGGAAAATGGACTTATTATGAATGCGTAGGAATTATGGGTTCGAAAATATTTACTTCTTTTACACATTAATGCAAAGGCGTGAACTGAATTTGTGTTTATTTATAATAAAATAAAATTTCTTCAGTGCTTTGTCTATTTTTTTGTGCAGACGCAGAAAGGACACAGGAGTGGTGTAGTTGAGAAAGTAAACTCAAGATTTTTATAGCCATTATGTCACTTACAAGCTTTGAATATGCTGCCTTAAAGTAAAAAAAAAAATAAAAACAACACCCTTAAAAGGTTCATTTATTGAAATGTTTTCAATCTTTTCGCATTTCATATGCCCAACGTCCTTTAACGCTTGAACCTTTCGATATGCCACTTGTACATGTCATTTTTTCGTTTATTTTTTGCCGTTGATACAGAAAAAGAAAGGTACACGCTACTCCATTCCTCATAATTTGACTCTTTTGTATTGCGTTTTTTACCAATCACTTTTCTTAAAAAAAAAGAATGTTTCCTCTTCGGCCGGCAAGTTTTTATGCTGCTTTTTTAGCATTTTTTATAAGTATTTTTTTTTTTTTTTGTCAAAAGATTTTAAAATAAAAATTTCGAGTAGAAAAAATTAAATAATGACCGCAATTTGTTTGCTAAAACTTTTATTCGCTCGCCAAGTATGCCACATTTTTCAACACAAATATTTACTCTTGCATTAAGCGGACGTTAAATTCACTGTCAGTTCGACAGTTCGAAAGGGTCGTGATTATGAAAATTGCCGCATAGTCCTTTTTTGTGTTCATCGCTCATCTCACCAATTGGAGAGAGTGCAATAACAGTTGTAGACAAATCGCAACTGACTTTTGGCCTCCACTTGTTTGTGTAAGTGTGCCATTTGCGCCACAGCTGGACAGTTGACTCATTTAATCAGAAAAAGCGGCATTCAATATCAAGCAGCTATCAACCTTGTTTGTTGTTGTCTTTAGTAGCAGCAACTCTTTTAAATAACCTCATTTTATTGGTTGACCCTTCTTATTTTTGATTTGTTGCAGCACTCTCGGTAGGGGAGTGTGCAAAAAGAAAAGAAAGAAATAGTTCATTCTTCTAGTTATTTGTATTTTTAGTCAGTAAAATTACACTCGAAAGCGATAAGCTCAGACTTGGCTAACCATTTTTGATAAACTCATTTCCATTTTCTTCAGAAATCTAGTAATTTTTTGTTATTTCCGTCACATTGACCCACTTTTTACCATTGAAATTTCTCGTTAGTTATTTTTTGTTTGTTTACTTTTGCATTTGCTTTCACCTTCTACGAAATAATAGCACATTTTCAACACCAATTCAGCTTTCAATATACATATACCCGTACATAATATATTTCCTGCGTTGCCGCCAAAAAATTAATGCCGCTAAACTCTACAAAATTAACCGCAATAAATGCTGAATTATTGATGACGTCTCTTGTAGTTGAAACGGTTGCTCATTTTTTATTTCGTTTATAATTCTGCCGAGTATATAATAATGAACTGCGAGAATGGGAGTCTACAAATAAAATTTTTTTATTTCGTAATTGCGTGATTAAATATTTATAAAGCAAAATTAGAAAAATAATGCAGTTATTATTTACATACACTTTATACATTCGTTGGTAAATTTATGATTTATTATTCACTTTTTTCTTCTTATTTAATCTATACTACAATATATGTTTTATTTACATATGAACTTTTGTAAGAAGAAAATTATTTATTTATATTTTCTTTTGGTCTCTTCTTTTTCATAACAATATAAATAATTTTGTATTTATCTCTCGCCAAGAGCGCGCTAAAAGTCACCAAAACTTGTACATAGGGTAGGTCGAGGTAGCCAGGAGATTGGCATAGCGTACTGACATTCGGAAAGCCCGAGTTCAAACCTGGTACGACTAATATCCAAAAGTTATAGAAAATTAATTTAAATAAAAAATTAAGTTATATTTTCTACTGACCGAAAGTCGTCCCTTGGCAGAGAATGTCATGTATTCCCGAGTGTATTTCTGGCTTAAAAAAACCATAAGCCATTCGGACGCGGCTTAGTATAAATTTTAGATCCATCCATTTGTTGGAGAAAAATCAAAACGAAAAATAATCGCTCCAGTGGCTACAAAGTGCCAATTATTTATATATATGTTTCTGTCTGAAAAAGATAATGAAAAAACAATTAATTTAATTTAATTTCATTTTTTTCAATAATTATTTATTTTGGTTTAAGGAGATATTCTATTGAAAACGATATCGATATGAACTTTTGTTCAAAATGTGTAATTTTTCTGTATTTTCCAGCGTTTTGGCAAATGTATCGGTTGATATGGTGGCGACTTCGCATCGTTTGTTGTCCTTAAGTTAAGCTACGGTCCTTTTCTTTCAGCATATACCTTGAATTTCAAATAACTGGACAAAAAACGTCTGATGACATTTAGCCTGGGTAAACGTCTAAAACACCATTTTTCGAAAAGACTTGTCCGGAAAACAATGTTCGAAATAAATGAGTTGCTTTACGAGCTGGCAATTTTTAACGATCTGTTGAAACCAGAAGCCATTGAAAGCGTTTTCTCAAACAATGGTTACCAAAAGCCCTCTTATATAGGATCGATAATCATTTCCAATGATGCTTATCGTTGCTCCACCAACGTTTTCGAAACACGGGCTCGTACGACTGGCATTACCCGAATTCACAAATTTTTCAAGGTTAGTCTTTACAGTTGGGAAGCTATTTTAAATGTAAAACGGAACAATTTTAAGTCGTGTCTTTGTGTATATTGTTCCGTGGTGTACATTATCTTATCGTTAAAGAGTTTAGTTACAATACCTTGCCACTGCCTAAAGGTAATTGGCGTTCTCTTTAGATGACCTACCTGGTACTTACTAAATATTAAATCTCTTCGCATCACAGTCTGCTGAAAACTAATTTTTGCTAAGGTAATTGAAATGTACGAATTTCAGAGAGATTACCAGATTGCGGTATCATAATCAGTTTGTTTTCAAAAATGTGACATGGAAAGAACAAGTGCGCTAGCGAGAGATCAACAACGTAGCGGTTTGGGGCAACACAATCAGATATAATAGAATCAAAGGAAATTGTAAACAATAAGATAAAAGTGAATGCTAAAGTTTGAGGTAAATAAAAGCTCAAATGTAGTTTGAAAACTGGTAACCGACTTTCGGAGTATGCACAGTATGAAAAAGTTGCCAAGTATACTTTCTCCATCATCCTTACTCTTTCCGATAAAAACTTACGGTATGGATATCTCGTCAACCGCCGACTGGGCCAAGACTCTTATGGCAATAACAGTTCTAAACAGATCTAAATATAGATAGAAATCACTATTATCAATGGATTTAAAGATAAGTAATCGTTTTTCGTGTGAAAGTAATTAATGCAGTCTTGTTATAGATCAAAGCCATGAACATCCATTTGATAACATGCTTATCTAGTTATATTAAGGTCGCATATAGTCGGTTCAAGTCAAAAGGCTTATTTTAATATTTGTTATTACTTTGTTGATAACTTTTCCCAAAGAGAATCAAAAATTTTAGTATAAATGTATAAGTATTTTAGACTATCATCCCAAATATTCAAATGTTATAGAATAAATTACATTAATCTACATATTCGACAGAAATCAGAAAACTTGGTAAATGGAATAATTTATTCAGCTGACAACAAGATTAATAATGAATTTTTCGTTAAGCAAATTAACTTTTACCTGTAAATAATATACATCCATTTTCGTAAATATGTACTAGCAGCATTATATGTAAATGTATATGCCAATATAACTTGTTTCCCAATAAAAGGTGTTATCCTGATATTTAAAGAAACTTTTCCCTTAAAAGATCTATCGTTTCGTTGCTTGTGTGGCACGTATCGCTGTTTTGTTGCAACTAAACGTTATCCATATCGATAAGATCCAATTACGGTCATGACAAATTTTTAATCACCTCTCGGTAGTTTAACGTTCCATAATTTATTTTAATTTTTGAAAAATAAGTTCCAATAACTCGGTCGACGAATAAACTGCGCCAAATAGTTACACGCTGAGGATGGAGAAGCTTTTCAACAATAAGACTTGGGGTTTTTTAACTCCAGATGCGAAAGTTTTGCTTAAGGCCAGGTTTCTCCAAACAAATTTCAAAAAAATTTAAATTTGATTTTTTAAATTGCTAGAAAAAACTTTCAGAAATAATATAGAGTTAATCCCGAAGATCCGCAAGACCAGAAGTAAGTACAGAAGAGGGGAGAGCGGAGCGCGCACTTTAAATGGTTTTTACTCGAAACCACGTTTTTTCAACTAGGTGACACTCTTATTTAAAACTTTTTGAACTTATCAACATGAGTTAAACGGTATTTTAGTAGAGAAATGTTCCTCTACGGTCGGTGGTCGGTACTCTAACTAAAAATATTCATTGTTATTTAAAAAAATGTATAAACAATTAAAATTAAAAAAAAGGGTAAACAACTAAAAAGCCCATCTTTTTTTTGGGCTAATGTGATGCAGACTAAGAAAGTCGTGTTTCAGGAAAAAATTTTTAGGAGCCGCGAATTAAAAAAACATTCAACCAACATTTTGATTTATAAATTATTATTTTTTTTTAATAAAATTAGTTTGAAAAATAACCGTTTTCTGGAAAAGCCGGGCCTTATTAACGAAGCGGATAATGGATGTTATTTTTATAGTAAATATTGTATTTATAAATTCGGTTTATATTTGTTACTGTC